TTCATAGAAATTCGTTCAGCCGTTTAGGGTACAAACTCTAAAAAACATCCATCTAAATTTTCGCATTTATAATATTACTTTAAAACTACTTGGATGTCTTAAAAACAACTAAATTAAAAGGTCCAACGAAAGCCCAACACCTAAATAACTAAACAGGACCTAATTAAAAAAAGGGACGGTATTTTCCAAACAAATTTTATGACAGCATTAATTTCACTTTGACTGCTAAACGGCCTACTTAAGGCTGACATAAAACAAATTAATTTAAATTTATTTTATCAACAAAATGTCTTCGCCAAACTAAAGGTTATTTAAATAGGCCTGCTAATATAAAATGAGCCTTTTATAAAGATTTATGTGGTGCTGTATTCCTAGGAAAAAATGGATTGGGTGAAAGGTGACATGATAAACCAGAGTGATGACTGATAACGAATGACTCTAGTTAGTAGTATTAGGGGCTACGGTTCTCGCAACTCCACGACTGACGCGTATTTTGCGTAAGAACAGGACCATTACTCCAGCCAACCCAGCTCTCCGAAGAACCCCAGCAAACACTTTATATTGCTAGTGATATTCGGGAACATCATCAACTTGCCCTTATCCCTTATGGAGGGTCGGCACAGTATGAGCTGCTCTTCCATACATCTCTATCAACCGTCATAACAGCATCGTCTCCTTTCTTAAGCGTATCCTCTTTCACACTATCCATCCATACTTTCTTCGGTCTTCCATAGAAAAGTTTGTAGCCATCATTCAATCTTAACACTTTCTGGTTTATGTCCCCATCGTCTCGTCGTATAATATGTCCATACCACGCTAACCTTTTACTTCTCAATTTCTACCACTGGTGCTACTTTCAAACTTCCTCTAATATACACATTCTTAACTTTATCCATTCTTGGTTCTTCCTCCACCATGCACACTCTGCACAATGGACTGTCTGTGACACCTATGTTGTACAGATGATAGAGTTATCTGGAGGACGAAGAACACATATCACTGCATAAAGTTGTATTAAGTATAATGTTTTTATATAACTTAGGATAGTTAAATAGAAGGATTATAAATTCCTATTTTACATTTAATTAAAGTGAAATTTAACGGGACCGTTCCCTTCACATTTATGCAGGACGCTGTATTTAAAGGGATCTTCGTAAGACCCTTTAATTCATAAGTTTATTGAGGACGGTTTATATAGCTTCGTCAATCTTTATTTCTTTCAGAAAATCTACATAAAGTATTAATCAATTTTACACTTATTTGTAAAGGTCTACTCTATTGGTTTTATGTTAAAGATAATATATGTTGACCATACATATCTAGGTAATTTATAAATTATAATAATACGAGCTGTTGCCCGCGACTTCGTCCGCGTGGTATTAGAATACATACGTACTATATAAATAACAAAAAGCTAAGTATCTCGGGAACTGGACACCTCGGGGATGAAGCTTATCCCATGTATACTCCAAATTTTGTTTTACATCTGTGCCAATTTTCAATAAGATAAACCGTTGCAGAATGTTCGAGTAAACATTTAAAAACTAAATTAATGAATCCCACGGGAACCGTAACTTATCCCGGGATAAAAAGTAGCTTATGTGTTCTTCCAGACTACGCTCTAAACCTGTGCCAAATTTCATGGAGATCCGTTCAGCCGTTTAGGCTACAAACGCTAACAAACATCCATCCATCTAAACTTTCGCATTTATAATATTAGAAGATAGAAGATATCATCTAATTGAAATTGTAACACAAAGGATTATTTCATTATTTGTTAAGTTAACTGTATAACAAAAAAAGTTTCAATAACTAAAGATATATGCGGATTAAGAGCTGCGCGCGCTTTAAACTATCGCACAACTGTTGTACGATTGTCGATTGTTTCGGAGCCAATTCAACTATTTAGTTACACAACTAAAAATCGAGTAGTGTGCACACGTCCATATGAGGTCATAAAAATCAAAGCGAGACAAAGTGCGATAGTTTAGTCAAAAGTGTGCGCGCGGGAGGATGGAATATTGTAACATAATATTGATTTGTGTATAGTACAATAATGAGTGAAAATATGAACAGGAAAATCCAATTTGCGAGTCAAATGACTAATCCCAATCAGAAAGGCGGCTTCACAGATAAGCTGAGTATATCCCAGTAAGCCGAGATAAGCTCTCGAAAAAATATAATTAAATAATCCGTTCTGATCCACCGCTTGTGTTAGACAGATAGTAATGACGTGACGAGAGTTTGTTGATGCAAGTCATAAGCGATAGCGGGTGATATCAAATCAAATAATTTTTAATTTCTAATAAAAATTATTACATAACATTTGTAACTTTACGTTACCAGAGTAATTATCGCTAATATTCATGACAGCCCTCTCTATTTCGACTACCTAAACTTCTGTTAATAAAAACAAAGTCATACCGATATTACGACCGAAAACGATTTTTTTTATAAGTGTTTCGCCAGTGGAAACCCACAGTTACTCTTATAGTGTATCTAAACAGATTAAACTTCATTGCAGTGGAATTTATGCCAAGACTTACAATTTTAAGCAAAAGCTATTCGCTTCTGACTTGCAGTATGTTGGTACCCTTAAATAATTCATTTACAGGCCTTTTTGTCATTATATTTTTTTATGTATAATTTAACAAGGATTTAAGATATACTATTTAAACATTTGTTGATTATTTTTGTTGTGAAAATATAGAAAAAACCTTAGTAGTGTTAATTTTAGAAATGAAACGAATTAAATCTTTAAAAAGTATTTATTTATATAACATTCCTTAGCAATAGAATACCAATATTCAATATAGCCATACGTAATTATTTAAAATTCGTATTACTTATTAATACTGGTAAATATCACAAAATAAATACTATGGCAACAATATCATTACAGTTCAATATCAGAACTTTCCAGATAGAATATCAAAGATTTAATCATAAAAAAATAGTTCATAAAAAAATATTTTACAATATTACTCGTGTGCAGAAACTTTGCCGGTTGCCTTATGACGTCACGCATGAAGGCAAACCTTTTGCACACGACTCATAATTCATAGATCGTAATAAACTTACCCAAGATATCTATACTAATATTATAAAGAGAAAAGATTTGTATTTTTGGATTATTGCTTGTATTTGATTTACACAAAAATTACACCGATTTTAAAATTCTGCATTAGAAATGGATGACTGGCACAAGCTATTATTTATTATATGTATTATTTCTTAATTACACGCGGGCGAAGTCGCGAGCAACAGCTAGTGTACAACATGCATGGATCACACTTAGCTAGTAAAGTTGGTTGGTAGCGATTGACCTGGACTGTTATTCAACTGGCAATGTGAACGCTAACTGACGCCAGTAAATCCATACAATGTAAAGAAACTTTACTGGCCTATTGTGAACCGAGCATAAGTTTACACAAGTATATAGCTATCTCTCTCACTCTCATAGGAAAATAGAAGTTATTGTTTAGATGTTCTCATAATAAACATCCTCAATTATAAATACATATGTTTTTTATTGGATATTAATTTACATTTAAATTACATTTTAATTATAATTTTAAATAAGACCCTCATATTAAATTAATTCTTATAAACTCGATAATCTTTACAAAATTTAATCACAAAGGATTATAATAAAAATAGATTTTCTAATCAAGTTACAGCTAATTGTAGATTTAAAACACACAAGAGAACAAAATCTTTTCACTTGTAACGCCAGTACTAACATTGATCTGTATAAATAGATAGGTCATTGGAATAACAGCTGCTTCGTTCCGAATTAAATGCTCCTTGATGTTGATTTTTTAATTTTATATAACACTGTATATTTTTTGGATGGCAATAAAATGGTTTTTGTTTTTTTTTTAGTTCGAATTGTCACCTATGCCAAAAACTGCGACAATCGGCGTCAAAATGGACAAAATAAAACAGCCACATACCAATCTTTTAACCTTTCCATTTACAGAAATCAGTGAGTTTTAAATTACCCATTAAATGTATAATTATTTTATTTAACACTTCATTTATTTGTCGTTTTTAGAACTAAAGTTGTCTAAAAGACTTAAAGTGAAATATTTGAGAGGTTTTGGAAAATATTAGCTGAGAATTTCAGGACATTTCGATTCCCAAAATTGTACAAAAATATATTGTCACCTTTGTTTTATTCAAATAAAATTTACGTATTTATCAAAACATTTTTAATATAGACTTAAAAAGCGCTTACCATTAGACTTTAAAAGCGGGCGCACATCTTTGACTAAACTATCGCACAACTGTTTAGTCTCGCTTTGATTCCTATGAGCTTATATGGAAGTACACTACTGGATTTTTAGTTGTGCAACTAAAAAGTTGAATTGGCTGCGAAACAATCGATAATCGCACAACAGTTGTGCGATAGTTTAGTCAAAGATGTGCGCCCGCTCTAAGACGTAGTCTTACAATTAAAATCACTTATAATAATTGACAAGTTAAAAATTAAGGTCAGTTCACACTAGAATCTGTCACTTAAAAATGTATTGTGTAGAATATTTCCAGTCTGAACTAACCCTTACAAATCTTGTAATTCTAAAATATAGAGACAGTCTTACAAAATACAAAATTTTAAATTAAAACCCTCATCGATATTATAACATATCGATAACTTAATTAATCTTATTTATTACATAACATTTATTATTTACTAAAGATTATATATCTAAAGTAGCAATAAAGAAAAGGCTTTACATCGCAAAAATATCGATTCTATTACAAAATATCAAGTCAATTTAAGGCAAAATAAAGGCAATTCTACACAGTAGATTTTAGAAAATATAAATTACTTAATTCACTGTAAATACACATCAAAATTTTCGGACGAAGACACGAAACAACTAGTAATATATAAATTTCTATAAACATTAATTTGATATGTTAGTTGCTAAGACTTAAGAATACTTAAAAAAGTTTAAAAAAATCCTAACATATAATAAATAACGTCTGAAATCAGAGAAAATATATAAACACTCGTATCCTTTTTAAAGAAAAAAATCTCTTAAACAAGCTTACCTTAAATATAAATATAAATTAAGTATCTATTGTTTTCTATACTTTTCGACTGTTTAAATACCTTGAAGTTTTAATATCAAAACACTTCAAAGGATATTTAAATAATAATTAAACGATTACAATTGTTCCAATAATGGATCCCTGAGGGAAACCCTGAAAAATTACCTCAAATCACAATCTCGTTCTAATAGGCGATGACCTTTCGTAGTTATCAAATATTTTACTATTAGAAGTTGTAAATACAGGCAAAACATCCGGTTTTCCATCCTCGATTATGGTTTCTTCAGTTTTATCGGATATCTCTTTATCGACTTTAGCCTTCTCGTTAACATCGTTAGTGAACTTTCGTTCACGTCCGGGTAGTTTTCTTGCTATTTTAGCGACTAAAGGATGCAATAATTTTTCATCGAATGCATCTTCTTCAGTACCAGTTATCATTCCGATAACAGTTCCTATGATAACGCATGTTAAAGTGCCTATCACTGCATACCACATATAGGATACAGAGTACATTTTCATAAGAGTATCAGATCTGGAAAAATGAGAAATTTAGATATAATACAAGCAAGAAATCATAACGCTCTACTGTCGTTATTTCATTCTATAAAACTCTATCCACAGAAGGAACTTTTTATATACTAATATTATAAATGCGAAAATTTAGATGGATGGATGTTTGTTGGAGTTTGTAGCCTAAACTGGTAAACTAAAATTTGGTATAGATGTAGAGGATAGTCTGGAAGAACACATAGGCTACTTTTCTTTTTTTTTAAATTCCATGCGGATGAAGTCGCGGGCGACAGGTAGTATATATTAATACCACAAGATGATTTGCCATCTTATGGTATAAAACAAGCTATCTGAGTCCTTAAGAGGAGACCTCCAGCGGAGGAGACTCACATAAAGAGAATATTGCATCTCATTCACCGTTAAATCCACTTTACATTTCCATTCTTTCCTTATCAAAAAGGGTAGAAAGGGAAAGGGATTTAAATTAAGCCTCCAGCACCACACTCATCAGACTGTCTTCTGTGTGGTCGTAGTAATGCGTGGTATTGTCCATTCTTTCGAAGATATTAAAGCGGGTTCTAACCTCTATCAATGCTTTCCATCAAATGATTCGTAAATCTTCGTTTTTTGTTAATATTAGTAGAAGACTTGCTGGATTAAATACTTTCATTTCCTGTAATTTTCCCTGTATTTTTTTTAATCTTATCGTTTACTTACATGATAGTAGTAGTAGACTGTGTATCTGGAGGCGTGTGCGTGCTGTTGATGGTCTGCAGCAGTGGTGTGATCAGCATCAGTGTCTGGTTCACTTCAACTGGTAGCGCGTTGTGATACACACTGATAGTCTCGTTTGGACATTTCTGAAACGAAATAATTATTCATTACCAGCTCACTATGAGGTGACCAGGCCTAAGTCCATCAAGAGACTGGCTCAGGATTAACGAAATGATGGTTTTCGTCCTCCAAATAACTCTATCATCCATCATCTCAATCATTACTCCCTTCTTGATCATGTCACCTTTCACGCAATCCATCTCTTTCTATGTCTACCTCTACCGGTGTACCACGCTCATCTATAATGATATTATTTTAATATGTATTGAAATAACTCAAAAATTACTGAGGCGATTTCAATTCTTTCACCATTAAAAAGCTACGTTATCAGTAAGTAACCTGGGCTATATTTTTTAATTACAGGGGGACAAATACGCGAGCAAGAGCTTTTTTACTAATATTATAAATGCGAAAGTTTAAATAAATGGATTTTTATTACAATTTGTAGTCTAAGTCAAGAAGAACACAGAGGCTAGTCACTTTTTTTAAATTCACGGGAACAGAGTCGGAGGCGAAAGCTATATTAACGTATATTACCTCAACTGATAACGGCAGCATTTCCACTTTATCGTTGACATACAGCAGTCTGCCAGCCGCCATCCAGGTGGTGATGACGTGTGAGGCGATCATCCCGCAGATGGCGCCCTTGCCGTTGGCGACGGGGAACATGGCGGCGAGCAGGAAGACGCCGAGCAGCGCGCCGGAAGTCGCTGATGTTACCAGTAAAGAACCCTCCACCACACCTCCCACCATGCCCACGCACAGGGACAGGCACATGATGAGGATTGCTGGAAACGAAGACATATTTCCTATTGATCCTTTATTGGTCCACATGTTGAAAGATATGATATAGCCTATTGGTACAGATTTCCGATCACTTCGTGCGAATTAGCCATTCGACTTTTATCGTAAACCATGTGCTAGCACAAGTCTAGAGTTTAATTGGAGTGGTAAAAGAAATATTAGTAAATTAACAAAAATTAAAAAATGAAACTATACCGATTTTTGTTTGTTAGTCTTAAGTGGACCTTAAACGAACCTTCCAAACTGGGAGAAAATTTAAGAAAGGGGAAATATAATAAGGGGAAATATTCGAGTACCCGAAATCGACGAATATGCTGTGAATGTAGAAGAATCTAGAAAGTTGTACCAGAAGTATACCAGATGGTTACCCATATTAACTTAAGCTGAAAGAGTAAGCATATCTGATTATTATTTTCAATTTGTATTCTATGAAGAGAAATTTACCGTATATGATGGCAATAATCTTGATGATGGTGAGCTGCTGCTTGTCGCTGATGCCCTTGAAGGGGCGCGCCGCGGACACGAAGTCCTCCCACGTCACCGTCGCTAGGGAATTTATGTTCGACACCAGGAAACTGAAAACAACATAATTTGTATTTTAATTTGCTATTTTACTAAAGATAAATGCACAATTTTAGATGAATGGATGTTAATTAGTTTGTAGTCTATACTGCTAAACAGATCTTGACAAAATTTGTTTTTTTTTTATCCAGCTGTTGGTAGCGACTTCGTCCACGTTGAATTATAAAATAGTCAAAAACATAGCCTATGTTACTCACTGATAACGTAGCTTTTTAATGGTGAAAGATTTTTTTAAATCAGCTCAGTAGTTTTTGAATTATTTCAATACAAGAATTGCAAATCTTTTTTATTATCATACTAACTACAAAAGCGAAAGTTTAAATGGATGGATGGATGTTTGTTAGAGTTTGTAGCCTAAACGCCTGAACTGTTTTCGATGAAATTTGGTATAGATGTAGAGGATAGTCTGGAAGAATACATAGGCTACTCACTTTTGTTTTTTAAATTCCAGGTAGACGAAGTCGCGGGCCAAAGCTAGCACTAGTACAGATTTCACGCGAATGGAGTCGCAGACATAATCTAGTCTTAATAAACCTAAATCTAGGTACTTTTAGTATTAGAATTACCTTAGAGCACCGTTAAATAAACTTCCAAGGAACAATCCAAGCATTCCAGGCAAGAAGGAGAACTGGTCTTGAACGTAGAAGGGCAGAACTTCATCTGGAGCTGATATCCTACCAGCTAATAGAGGGTCACAGTATTTGTAGACCGCATAGAGAGCCATTCCAACAACCCAGGATAAAGAGAAGAGTATAGCAACCGCAGGAACATTTGATAGAAGAGTTCTTCTAACTCTAGCTTCACTGGACATTGAACAATATCTCTGGACGAAAGTCTGTTGACAGCCGTAGATTGATACCGACATGAACAATTGACCGATCAACGCTGATGCGGTGTCAACACGAACAGTTGGATCTCCAGTGAATCTGGAAGTATTACCAATTTACACCTATAAAGTATTTGGACGCCATGTTTCTTTATTATCGAAGTCAATGATCGTTTTTTGTTTGAAGACAAAGACATATAAGAAATGCAAAGACTAGGTATAGTGAATAATAAATTTTCACCGGTACTTTCTCTGAAAGGTAATATATCTGTTGTCAAGTTTAGTGCCACCTCGACCTTGTATTAACATGTAATATTATCATCATCCACTTGCCCCTATCCCTTACGGAAGGTCGGCACAGTATGTGCTGCTTCCATACATCTCTATCAGCCGTCATATCTGAATCCACTCCTTTCTTAAGCATATCTTCTTTCACACAATCCATCCATACTTTCTTCGGTCTTTCTCTTCCTTTGTAGCCATCCACATTCAATCTCAACACTTTCTGGTTTATGTCCCCATCGTTTCGTAATTTGTAATAAACTCAAAAAGAAATACGGAGATATAAATATTATTCAATGAAACCTAATTTAAATACAAATATTTTGACATGTGAATTTGAAGCTATCAGTAGATGGCGTTAGTCTGATCATACGACAAATGTCTCAAGTGAAGTGTCAATTATGCCTATTCTATAATTTTTTGAATCTCTTTGTTTTATTTCTTTAGTTGAAGAATTCTCTGCCAAGGTTTTAAAATGTCTGCTCATTACATGTCTTATTGTTATCTTCGTTGAATACACTTATATCTGTATAAAATGCTTACTTGAAGAATTCCAATCTTCCACCTTCGATGTTATCAGTCATCACTTGTCCAGGACCTCCGGCCTTCACTGTAGCTTGTACAATAAATGCACCACTTACTATCACCATCGTTAGTGTTTGGATCACATCCGCTCTGCAAACGATAAGATTTATCTTAAGGTTAAAGTAATTAAGACACTTCCAGTAACTACTTTTGAGAAATAAACCCTTATCGCTTACAGACTACATCACTTTCAGACCGTTAATATTCCAAGAAAGAAGACAGTCTTTTGAGGTTCGATGTATAATTTGTAATTTCATTTATTTAATATTAACTTTCGCCTGCGAATCTGTCCGCGTAGTATTAAAAAAAAAAACCAAGTAGCCTATGTGTTCTTCTAGACTATCTTCTACGTCTATGCCAAATTACATTGAGATCCGTTCAGCAGTTTAGGCTACAAACTCTAATAAACATCCATCCATCTAAACTTTCACATTTATAATATTAGTATGAAGGATGATAGTATTTTAAATTTCACTAAAATTGTATAAAATTGTGGGGCGCTGAAAATGAATTCACATTCTGTTGTCACGGACGAAATATCGAGTTTAAAAATATTCACAAGAATTGTTTTCATATAAAAGTTCCCACGTCGAATATAAACTTATTCCGCACTATATTTTTAAGAAAAAATGGTTAACGACCTGTTAATTAATAATATGCTGAAATTACAATAATAATAAGGTGTATTTTGCTAAAGAAAGGAAACAACGCACTCTAGAACGTCTCGGCGTTTTTATAACGTAAAATTTATGTTAGCCATTTTCCTTTACGTTTTTCATTAACACCCTTGTTTTTATATTTGATAGATAAAACATAAACAGAGTCTAGCTTGATTAATTTCTGGATTTAATTTTGCGATACAAAAATTTAATCAATCCAAACATTAGCAATTTATTATCTATGCTTTTCTGCTCCAAATATCAGAGCAACTTTCTCAATGTTATCATTATTTTAAAATCATTTGATACCTCTGATTTAGATTAAGTTTTCTAGTTGTGACCGAGTGTAATATTAAGTACATGTGTTCTGTTTTTAGAAATCATTAAAAACCGGCGCTTCGGCGTACACCGAGCACGTGCCGAATGAATTCCTTTTCATTTTTTTTTTGAATAAACTGATTTCTTTCTTTCTTTTTTTCTTTCTACTTTTCGTATAAGAATTTGAACTTTGACTAAATTATCGCATAACTGTTTCTCGCTTTGATTCCTATGACTTAACATGGAGGTGTACAACTCGATTTTTATTTGTGCAACTAAACAGTTGCACAACATTTGTCAAGTGTTAGTTGGACAATACAAGGTTATGGTAATTTGAACTTTATCAGTGAGTAATAAGGATGATTACCTAATAGCAGCCGCTAATCCTCCGAGAAGATTGAATACAATAGCGACCACAGTGAGCGCAGCTGCGGAGGCCCAGTGCGGCAGCGCGAGCACCGCATGCAGGGCGACAGTCGGCGTGTACACTGTCACCGCTAAGTTCAGTGTTTGTCTCACTAAGAACGTCGCTGCTGCCATCTGACGCACCCAGTTAGAACCAAAGCGCATCTGAAAGCATAAAGAAGATTGTTAATTGCAGTCTTTATTACTCCTTGATTCGATAGTGTTCATTGTGAAGAAGTACTAATTAAAAAAAACCTACTGAACTGAGTTTAGGGAAAAATACGTAAGATTTTGTTTAAGCGTGTTGATAATAGTTCTTCAAGAAACAAGAGGAACTGAAGAAGCGATCGATTTTACATTATTTAGGGCTTGTCCCACCACTAACTGATAGAGGCAGCATAAAAATGACGTCAGATAAGGGAACAAAATCCGATATTCCATCACAAATTGTAAACGTTGGATAGTTATCACATACAATTTGGTGGGTCAGGCCCTTAGTAAAATAGGAAGTATGTACTTATAATATAGAATGTATTCAGCAAATATTAAAACTATAATGAAATAATTACGGCTCTAGCAAATCGAACAAGGGCATACAATCTAATACGATCCACTGTACCACGTGAAATTGCATGTCTCGAGTACAAAATTAACAGCTAATATAGGACTGTGTACTACTATATTAAAATTAATAACTTCTGATTCTATTTAGTCTTTACTTGAGCCCTTGATCTTAAGATTAAGTCTTCGTCTATCGTTATTTCATCTATAAGGAGGAAAGATTTATATTTCTGTATGTTTTTTTTTATAATATAAGGTGGCAAACGAGCAAGCGGCCACCTGAATCCACCGAAATGATTAGCGACCGCTGCCCATAAACATCCGCAATTGCAGATGTGCTTCCTACCCTTAATTTACGCAGGAGGAGACGCACATCAAGAGGACATTTCCTCTTCATATGCGTCTCCTTCACCGTCAAATCCACTTCCCCTTCCCAACCTCTCCTTATGAGAAATGGATGTAAAGAGAATGGAACTTAGGCCTCCGGCACCACACTCATCAGATGAAACGCGGAATTGCTTCCACTTCACGCCTGTTTTCTGTGTGGTCGTGGTATTACACCGGGGGAGCCGACCCATTCATGCGAAGATGTTAAAGCGGGCTCTATCACATGCATGTATTGAGATAACTCAAAATCTATTCGGCGGATTTCAAAAATTCTTTCACTATTAGAAAGCTGAGTTATGACTGACAGCATATATTTTTAAATTTCACATCGCAAGTCCCAAGCAACAGCTAATTTTTAATAGGTAACCTTCTGATAGATAACAGATTGCCTTCATTTAGTTTAGAAGATGAATTATCAGGCTGGTCGAAGTCGTCGAAGTCGAATAGTCGAAGGAAAGCAAGTCAACAAAGGGAACATCACGTAGCACCATTTATTTGTATATTTACTCGATCATTAAAAATACGTGCTATTTTATGTTACTAAATAACATTCCAAGCACGTCCGATTTTATTACAGTGTTAGCAATATTGCTCTTCCTTGCAAATACAACTTTAATATTCTTAACCTTGATCTGTATTCTGATAAGAAAAGTTATGTTATTATTTGTTTTTACTTTGTACTAGCTGTTCCACTTCGACTTCATCCGCATAAACTTATGAAAATGTTATTTTATAATTTACATGTGTCAAATAATCAATAGCAAATGTCAAAATAACAATTAACTTAATATGGCAATTTTGCTATCTTGATGTTAGCATCAACTTATGGTCTCTTTCCCACATTAGTGTTTTTATCCAAAATATAAACCCCCTATGTTTAATGGCGTGAAAATACATAGTCATGGGGAAAGTGTAGGGCTTTCTATTACAAAAAGAGTTATTCAAAAATATGCTGTGATTGCTGACATCTTAGGCAACAAAGAAGTGTGTGTTTACGCTTTATTATAATAGTATAGAAGTATAGATTGGAGATTGTTTATTTTTCAAGTGTTTGTTATAGTAAAGGCATCACCATAAAACAGTATTCATTACATACATCATACTTTAATATTATAAATGCGAAAGTTTAGATGGATGGATGTTTGTTAGAGTTTGTAGCCTAAACGGCTGAACGGATCGCTATGAAATTTGGCACAGATGTAGAGGATAGTATAGAAGAACACATAGGCTACTCACTTTTGTTTTATTCATCCTACGCGGACGGAATTGCGGGCGAAAGCTCGTATATACAACACTTTTTACCATGTGACCCGCCCGCGGATTTTAACAAATCATGATTATTAATTATTAAAGCTTTGATAAATATAAAAGATATTAGATAACAAAAACGAGTGTAAATATATTTATAATAAGATTTTGATGTTCATATTACCAGCGGCCAGAATTAAAACTCATGTTTAACTAAACAGTGTCTATGTTTTTGCGGTAATACAGTGTTTTAACAAAATGTACACATTTAAATTTAAATGACTTGGCTACAATCCACTATCATAATATTCTTATTGGACTGGAATTAATACATTGCAGCTCTTCATAACAAATAATTAAAACAGACCCAAACAATGTGAGTCGCATATATAGGTACAGTTAGCTGCATAAATGTGAACACGTCTTCAAAGTTATAGAAAATTGTATATCATTTTTGAAAAAAAAACATATATGCTCGCGCCTGTCTATTGCTTCCGACCATGAATCCATGTTATAATCTGAGTGCATAGATTAATTCTAATGCGTATTCGAGTTTATAAGGTTTTGTAAATGTATACTTTTAAACAATCAAAATAATAGTAACTAGCGATATTAATTTAAACACTCCATTGGAGAACGCGCTAGGAATGCGCGCGATTATCCAATCTTTCTAATGACATTGACAGCTGTCAGTTAGAGATGTGACGTTTATGCCAATAATCTAGTGTTGCGCCAATTCTACAGCTCGGTACTATATTCTTCTCAATAATACATATTTATGCAGCTGACTGTACATGTACTTTAGGTATCCACGTGGAATAATGCACACTGTTTGTCATTAAATACAGCTAATCAAATAATTGCCAGTCATTGAAAGAAACATTTCAGAAAATATTTCATCGTTATTATCAACTGTTTACTTGCAGTATGACTTTATTTTGCACTACTTTGACACTAGATGTCACTAGAAATAACATTAAAAAAGAGGACGCACACCTTTGACAAAACAAGCGCAAAATTGTTATGCGATTGTCGATTGTTTCGCAGCCTATTCAACTGTTTAGTTGCACAACTAAACATCGAGTGTGCCGCATCTTCGTACAAGCTAAAAGGAATCAAAGCGAGACTAAACAGTTCTGCGATAGTTCATTCAAAGGTAACAAAAGGTAACTTACAATAAACTTGGAACCTAATCTTATAAATAAGTAGAAGATATATTCATTCGTTTATACTTTGTGTTTCTAGGATGTAAAGGTTTTAGACTTAACTGTTTGCAAGCATTAAGATTTAATTCTTATTTACCTGTAAATATTCATAAACGGAGTTTGTGTGCAGGCGATAGTAAACGGGTATGAACAGCCAGCAGACGATAGGGAATGCGAGCATGATGCCGTACAGCGTCTCCCACATTGCCGACCCATGGTATACTAATTCCGATGGGAATCCTGAAAACAGACGTAATTATGAATTACTTTAAAATGTTTTATTTAAAAAACTTACTTCTAGGCAATGTTCTGGAATGTTCCCTCAATTATAGATACGACTAAGATTAAGTGTCATGTGTCAAACTGTTCAGTTGAAACTGTGCGCGTGAACACTAACTGAACAGTTCGACTGACTGTCCTGTATTGAAGATAACAAGTCAGGTGTTGACTACTACGGATTTTCAGTATCCATTATTGACTCTGCCCAATTCATTAGGTAATTCAAAGTTAAGAATTATATTGTAAATGTTTTAATTCATATTTATTTCGATGTTTTTGCAGTTTAACTAATAATTGATACAAATATTCTACATGCATTTTGTATGACTGTACTATTCCTTACGAAACGCAATACTCGAACATCAAAGCTATTTAACTGCGCGTCGTAACCGGTTTTAATAAATGTAAACACAATTCAAGGACGTCGGGTTATATTTGTTTAAAAAATAAGATCTCACGGGAACATTGTTCTAACTGACAAAATTCTTGACAATTAAACTTAAGGAGAGAAGCCATAGATTTGCAACTAAGTCGTTTGAAAAATAAAAAAAACAGTATTTTTGATTGCATGTTAATTCAATGGCATCCTACACTAATGTACATTATAAAAGAATTGAACGATTCGAAATAGAACTCAGAATGACGTCTCAATTGAGCTAAATTTTATTAATACATTGCAACATGAAATATCATTATCAACTCTCTCCTTATCCTCCACATCACTCTATCATACGTCATCTCAGTCATCACTGTCTTCTTGATCATGTCACCTTTCACGCAATCCATCTCTTTCTAGGTTTACTTCTATCGTTGTGTCCACACTCATAACTAACGTTCTCCTTGTTACATGCGATTCATCCCTCCTCATAACTTGCCCCCATGCTAACCTTTTACTCCTTACCTTCTATCACTGGGGCTACTCTCAAACTTCCTCTAATATACTCATTTCGTAAACATTAAATATATTAAATTAAATTAACTTTTATATAACAATTATTATTACGAACATAAGCCGAGTCACGTCCTTGTAAGTATTTCCTTAAATATAGCAAAAAAACTTACATTCAAAAGTTTTTATACGTTATTAAATTATGAGAAATGCTTATTATATTTAACTGTGTTTATTTGATAGCTAACTTAGACATCTCAATTACTTATTAGAAGTGGTATATTTTAAGCATGTACTTAGTTTTTCAGTAAAACGACGGCTAGAACTTCTCTTAAAGTCAAAGTGACATTCGATTAACAATATCGCGAGTAAAAACGATAAAAACCGTCAAAGGTATAGAAACAAATCTTACTAACATTATAAATGCGTAAGTTTAGATTGGACGGATGGATGGATGTTTGTTGGCGTTTGTAGCCTAAACGGTTGAACGGATCTCCATGAAATTTGGCACAGGTTTAGAGCATAGTCTGGAAGAACACATAGGCTACTATTTATCCCGGGAATAGTTACGGTTCCCGTGGGAATTATTAATTTAGTTTTTTAATGTTTACTCGATCATTCTGCAACGGTTCAACATATCTTATTGAAATTTGGCACAGATATAAAACAAAGTCTGGTGTACATATGGGATAAGCTTCATGCCCGAGATTTTTTTTTATAATATAAGGTGGCAAACGAGCAAGCGGTCACCTGAATCCCCCGAAATGAAAAGCAACCGCTGCCCATAAACATCCACAATTGAGGACGATTGACGACTGACGGAGGAAGAGACGCACATAAAGAGGACATTTCCCCTTCCCATGCGTCTCCTCCACCGTCAAATCCACTTTTCTTTTCCATCCTTCCCTCTGGAGAAAATGGTGGAAAGGAAAAGGGACTAAAACTAGGCCTCCGGCATCACACTCATCAGACGAAATGCGGAATTGCTCCCACTTTAGCCTGTCTTCTGTATGGTTGTGGTATTGCACCTGGCGAGCTGGCCCATTTGTGCGAAGATGTTAAACTCTACCACTGTAAAATGTGTCTACAGATTCAATGTGTTGTTTAATTTGAAATAAAACAAGTTCGAAACGTTTTTAGTTACATCGTTCACGAACAATATTTTAAATAAAATAATTATCATTGTAAGAATTGTGTGCAAAAACAAACGATTCTTTTTATTTCATTCGCGTGTATTCCAAATATAAACCGTCTAATATAAATTATGCTGACATATTAAACGAAATAATACAATGTTTGTGCAATCGAAATTATGCTCATAATATCACTGACCGTTGAATACTCAACAATCGTGATCGATAAAGAAGTTATGTTTTTAGCGCTGTCATTAGAAATAACGACGAGTAATCTAAAAAAAGTTTTTCAAACAACATCGACTGTTTTTATACAATGAAATTACTTACTAAATTTTAACTACAATATTCAGCAAAGAATTGAGGTTTAGTCGTGTTATATTTGTGTAGATATACCTAAATATATAGGTAGAGAAAGACCGAAGAAAGTATGGATTGTTTGAAAGAGGATACGCTTAAGAAAGGAGTGGATTCAGATATGACGGCTGATAGAGATGTATGCAAGCAGCACATACTGTGCCGACCCTCCGTAAGGGATAAGGGCAAGTCGATATATATTAGTGTAAATATGCAATTTATTTTATAATAAAACAATTTAATAAACGATTTAAACGTCATTAACTTATTTCTAATACTAGCTGTTCTCATGCGACTTCATTCGCATAAATTCATTAAAAGCAAATGTAAAAATGACACGACATAACAAAACTTGGCAATTTTGCTTCCTTGATGTTGACAGCAATTTATGGTCTCTTTCCCACATTAGGGTTTTATCCAAAACATTTACCCCCTAAGTTTAATTCCGTGAAAATATATAGCCTAAACCGTGACGTAAGTGTAGGGCTTTTTATTAAAAAATGAATTATTCAAAAATATGCTGTAATTGCTGACATCTTAGGCAACAAAGAAGTGTGTGTTTACGCTTTATTATAGTAGTATAGATGAAAACATTCAAATATGTTCGAATTTCGACTAATGGTCGACTAATAAATTAGAAATTCATGAATTAAATCCATTAACAAAACATGCCGCATTACTGGTCAATTGTTGTTTAAAAATGCACAAAAACAAATCCACGTGAGTCGCCACGTGTAGGTAAGATGAGCCGCCTGAAGCCAAGCAAACTGTCACGTACAATACAACACGTGCTCGACATACAAATATCACTAAAATCCGGCTTCTTTTAATAATACTTAGTAGTTATGTTAGCCTGGTACACGCAAATTAAACAGATTCTGTCTCTTATAAGGTCAAATATTGAAACGAATATTACTACTTCGTAAACGCCTCTAACAATCTGAGTTTTTAAGGAATTAAGTGTTAAGCGTGGCTTTGTAATAAGACGCATTCATTTTTGAATGACGTTTCAGTATTCGGCCGTTAGTCATCTCTAAAATAAAAGCTTCATAAACTACAGGGAACTTTACACTTTTGACTAAACTATGGTACAACTGTTTAGTTTTGCCTATGAGCTTATATGGAGGTGCGCACACTCGATATTTAGTTGTGCAACTAAATAGTTGAATTGGCTGCAAAACAATCGACAATCGCACAATAGTTGTTTAATCAAAGGTGTGCGCCCGCTCTTATCGTACGTTTTAAATCCGAATATTTGGATGGATAGAGATGTTTTACTACGGAATCGTTGACGACAGCTATTAATAATTTTCCAACAATAACTTGCTGAAAACCGCATTAAAATTCAGATGTTGTCTTTCAATTGTAAGGAAAACTATTTTCAGTCATTTCTGAGCGTGAAATGACGTCATTACCGCGATGCAAATCATTTAGCTATGGTATTTAAATGTCAGATGGCTAAATGTTGCAACGTTGTTTCATATTATTCAGATAAAAATTTGGAAGGCATTTGTTCTTATCCATCAATCTGCCCTTGTCCCTACAGACTGTCGCCACAATTTGTGATGCTCTTCCATACACCTTTATAAGCCGTCATATGTTAACCCCCTATGCATACCTTTCACACGATCCATCCAAACATTATTCAGCCTTCCTCTACCTTTGGAGCCATGCAATATTAATACTTTCTTCGTGTGATTATCTCACCAAGCTAACCTTTAAACCTTTCTTGTTACCGCGATAGTCGTATATAGGAATTCGAATCAAAGACCAAGTAATAAGAAGTAACAAATAGGTATGTTTCCAAGGAGAAACTGCAATCTTTCAGAAATGCAAACCAAAGTTAACAGTTTAACACTTTTTCATACTTGTCACGTAGTCTTTTTGTATCTGAAAATGTATTTCCATAACAATCGGTTGAGTCATTAACTCACGAGAGTGTAACAAAGATAATTCTTTAATTACATTGAGAATTATAAAAATACTCAAAAGATAATTTTAAACTACAATAGGATAAAGATACCGAATAAATCTGTTTTTATCTACTTGAAAATCGATTTTTTAAGAGGGCACTTGACAAGCAGACATCATCTGCTAAAAGATGGAAAGTTGTGACGCAAACTCTCTGATAATGTTACAATGTTCATGTAATCAAGTTATCAATTGTTATGATAACTCACTTATTAACAACACTTAGTAATAACTTAAGGCGTTACTGAATCTTGAAAATCTAACAAAGCTCAGTGCTCAAGACACATAAATTAAATGGGTCTTTTTCCGAAGTAACTTTATAGTAACTACCTTTAATTAAAATGGGGGAATGCGTTACGCATCCCAGGTGCCTTGGGGAAAGACACACAGGGTATGTGAGACTCTGTCATCCTTGCCCATATGGAAAGGGACGTGAAGCCTACCCACTATACTCAATCTGGTTCCCTCGACACCGTTTGCCGGGACATTGGCACATTTATAGTAATTACCTAAGTCAAAGCCAGAGAGAGTCGCCGAGTCTTAGCTCACTTAAAGCTTTGCCACCTCAAGCCTGATTTAAATGTTGATGCCTTCTTAAGGCAAACTGCGATATGTCCAAAGTCTTGCGGCCACTCGCATTATAAAAATATGGACTTTACATACAATACGTAGTAGAAACTATCAAATTACTTCTGCACTTATGTTAAGTGGAAAATCGAATTGCGATTTATCAAAGTATACTTACCCAAAAAAGACCTGACTCCCAGCGTGCCCCTAGCAACAGATAATATCATTGCTAATGTTGACACTCCGCCTCCAGCAAAAATATATGCTCGCTTAGCGCTGCCGCCCGCCGCCGCGTCCCTGCGTCGACGCCATAACGGCGCACAAGAAGACGCGAATATGAATATCGCAAATACGATACATTCCCACGCTAACCAGCCTGTTTTCATTTTGTATCTGAAACAGAAGGAATAGAAAATTATATTGTGACATTTGTAGCACTATCTCCGAAGTTACTGTCGGCGGTGAGAAGGTTATAAATTGTCTCAAAATGGAAAAAGGTTATGTATTGATTCATCTTTTTGTTTCTTATGGTAATTTTCTCTTTGTCATTCTGTACCTAAATGTAACACGAAAAATGCTCTATGCATCTGACGTCGGACGTCATTTTTAAGCTATCTGAGCATCTCTCAGCCAGTGGTGGAACAGGACCTTACTTTTTCTTAGCTTCCTAACTTCAATATTCCCTACAAATAGTACCTATTTATTGTTTACTTTCTTCACAATAAACTATATATTCGTGATAGCACGGAGCTCCTTTGTTTTATTATGTAACATTTATCATATTGCTATACGCATATAGTCAAAACAATAATGAGTATTGCGTCATATATGTTACAAAGAGCCTTGTCTATAAAAAATGTACGTTATGTTCTTCACTTGTTTATAAACATTACAAGCTTTTGTACGTGTCTCCGTTCGCGTGGTTTAAGAAAATAAAAGCAAGACAGTGTTCTTCCAAACTATGCTCTCAATCTATTGCAAATTTCTCAAAGGATTTCTAGAATGTCAACGAAATACAACAGACGAATTTTATATACCTAATAAACCAATAACGTATTATTATCCAATATTTAATTTCATAATATGGTGATTAGTTTTGCAAAAAATTTAATCATAGACATTTTTTTGTTCCTCTAAGATTCATACAATAATCGAATAAAAAACTCGTAGAGGTGCATAAAATCTTTTTAAGCAACAAAAAATGCCTTCTTTATTATTTAATAAATTGGTCTGTCTATCAGATTTGTAGTTCTATGTTTGGAAGTAAACCTATAAATAAACGTTTACCGGGACTAGTTCCCGGAGCGATTACCGACCGGTTAGCAAGATCGCGTAGAATTTAATTCTAGAAACTTCTTAGGAATCTATCTTTACGTCTAACTTGTTTTGTAGTTAGAAGTAAACGGTTCTATCAGCCATCTTATAGACGCTAGATGTCGCCCGCGTCTTTGTCCGCGTAGAATAAAAAACTGAGTAAGTAACCTATCAACCATTCGTCTTGCTTTAGTAGAGTTACATATTAACAAACATACATACAGACAATTTTTACTATCGCATTTTCTCCATTAATAAAATACAGGATTCTAAAAGTAATATTTTAAATTACCTTTTTGTCTTTTCATTTTTGCATTCCAAAATTATTTGTTTAATTTCTGAATACGTCCCTGTCCTCACTAGACGGTTCAAAGATAACGCAGTGTCTCCGAGATAACAAGTTATGTATCTATTTATAAAACTCTGAATCATGTAGGTAGATTAACCAGTTGTCTATTATCGTAATTTAAGATTATTTCTTACTATGCTAGCGTACGGGATTCTTATCAAAAGATTGGAACTACTACGTAAATAGGTTATCTAGTCTTTAGAAATTTTAGACTCTTGTCTACGACACTTGGACATGTCTTGAATAGAAAAATGTAAAAAAGTAAACTATTACCATTGTTAAAATCTTCTTTATTTGTTGATAAACACACACAATATTTAAAATTGCATAAAAATGTCACATTTGCACATTCGCGCCTAAAATCCTCGTTGTTTTTTTTTTTCAAATACAATTATTTCTGTAGCTTTATCGGCCGCCAGTACGTTAATAAATATTCATCCACAATATTTTTCCAATTTAAACAATTATAATTTTACAATTACCTTCCTTATAAAACATCAAAATATTTAATCTAAATAATGCTTTTGCTTCTATATCAATGAAAATAATTACAATTGTTGTCAGCGCCATCTATTGTCAATTATGCTAAACCAAAAATCTAAATACAAAAAAGGACTCATTAAATTTAAACACCTTGTATGGAATTGAAGAACTACTTTATTTAATTATTTTTCACTAACTTTCGCCCGCGACTCCTTCCGTGTGTAATTGTGAAAAATGTAATGCCTATGTTTTCTTCCAGACTCTAAATCTGTGCCAAATTTCATTGAGATCCGTTCAACCCTACTTTAATAAACGTCCATCTTATTTTCACATTTATTATACTAGTAAGAAGTAAGATTTAAATATGTACAATATTAACAATAGAACAAAAAAATCAGTATTCTGTATTTGAGAGCCAATTTATTTTATTTATGCAGCCAACGTAAATGCTAAACAATTTCTTATCATTTGCTCGCTGGCGCGTGAACTGCTCGTATTGAGTGGCGCCCATTAACAGACGTCACTAACCATACCACCTCATAAGTCAAGACTTAATAGTATTTCTAAACAATTCTATTTCTCAAAATCAATGAATTTCGTACTAATATTATAAATGCAATAGTTTAGATAGATGTTTGTTAGTTTGTTGACAAAACTGCTGAACGGATCTTAATTAAATTTGGCATCATCACCAGCTCACTATAGGTCCCCACCGAGGGGCTCGGAGCCTACCCTAAAGTAAGGGGTGACTAGGCCATAGTCAACCACGCTGGCCAAGTGCGGGTTGGTTAACTTCACACATATCTTTGAATTTCTTCGCCAATATGTGTAGGTTGCATCACGATGTTTTCCTTCACCGTAAGAACGTCGGGTAAATTATGTACATATGAAAATTCGAAAAATCGAAAATCACATTGGTACGGCGGGATTCGAACCTAAGACCTGTAGATTACAAGTCAAGAGCCCTTGGCACAGATGTTGATAATCTGAAAGAAAACATAAACTACTTTTTGTTTTTTTTTTAATTCCACGCGGTCTATGTCGCGGACGAACGCTAGTAGATCGTAAATAGTGCACCCGAATTGTTTTCAAAGTATACTTTATTGGGCATTTTTTAAAATGTATATTTTAAACGAAGGGATTGACAGTAATACAATTGTTGTATGAGTGACAGTGTCATGCATCATACAAATTCATACACAACTATTTGTTTACTATTAATAGTATAATTGTTTCAAAACATTACTTAGAACTTGTAACTAAATGTATGTTTTGTCTGTCTACAACGTATAGACAAAACAATCTTGCAAAATAATCGCACAATGAAATTGTGACGTGTGTCGCTGCCTTTATGCAGTGGACTGTTAGTGAAGGTTCCAGGGCCGGATTTATGTTTGATTAAAAAATAAGACATGAAACTTAAAAAAAAAGATACTATAATTTAATTCCAATCACATAAAATCAGCTTTTGTTAGCACTACCTTTTGCCTCTGACTCCGTCCGCGTGGAATTCAAAAAAACAAAAGCAAGTAGCCTATGTATTACTACTATGCTCAGATCTATGCCGAATTTCATTCAGATCCGTTCAGCTGTTTAGGCTACAAACTCTAACATACATCCATCCATCTAAACTTTAGCATTTATATTTTTAGTAAGACTAGTAAAAATACATTTTTATGTACCCATCCTGAGAAACATTTTGTAAATCTAAATAACGTATATCAAGTGGATTTCCCGCACTATTATTTCTTATTAATATTATAATTTATAATTGAAGATTGCAGGCTGTCATATTATACGTTTGAATGAACATTTATAAAACAGCAAATAAAGGTTACATGTTAAAGAAGTATCTGTTAACATAATTGTATTTTATCTCCACGTATCGTTTACTTAAGTATACTATTATAATAAAGCGTAAACACACTTCTTTGTTACCTAAGATGTCAGCAATTACACCATATTTTTGAATAATTCTTTTTTTAAAAAAAAGCCCTACACTTACGTCAGGCTTTGGGCTATATATTTTCCAGCCCTTAAACTTAGGAGGTAAATATTTTGGATAAAAACCATAATGTGGGAAAGAGACCATAAGTTGCTGCCAATATCAAGAAAGAACGATTGTCAATGTTTGTCATTTCATGTCTTTGATATTTGCAATTGATTTTTTGATAAATGTAAACAGTACTTTTTTTTTCAATTTCATGCGGATGAAGCCGCACGGTAACAGCTAGTTTCAAATATACCAGGAAGTCTGGAAAATACTACAGTACAAATAAATAGTAAGTAATTATTAAACTGAAAAACTTTGACCTCAACCCTTATCTATCTCTGTATCTCTGAGTTCCTTTAGGTTCAGAATAAACGAAACGATCACATACACACATTTTTATAGTAATGACGTAGTCCGACCCTGTATATGTTTGTCACTTCTGACATCAGAGGTGACTGAATCAGTCGTTAGTGTATCACCAAGTAAATCTTACATATTTATTAAGGTTCTCGTAGAATTAAAAATGTAATTAAAAATAATAAATATAGCCTATCCTACAGTTAAGAACAAAATTAGTACCGTGCTGTAGATTTGGAGCAACTCTAGATTATCGGCATAAACGTCACGTCCCTAGCTGACAGCTGTCAATGTCACTAGAAGTATGGATAGATTGGCGCGCAACCTGAGTCCTTACGAGAAGTGTTGCTCTGAGTTTAAAGCGACAGTGTCAATTAAATAAGTTGTCTAAAATTACTTAGTAATGTACCATTCCAATGGGTACAAAACATAAGTATAAAAGCATAAATATAATAGCATTGCATTTACCTAATAACATGATTTAAAAAAATCTTACTTCAAAAAACGTAAGATCGAACGTCATAGCAACCTGAACTTCAAGCCTCAGGGCACAGCTAAAGCGAAGCGAATACGAAACGGGAAGAGTTTGCATGTTCGGTTTCTGAAAATTAGGGTTGCTAGCCTGATTTACTACTAAAAAGGTTTAAAACATACCAAATCTATACCAAAGTAACATTCGGTTCCGGTTCGCTATCCTTTGTTACTTTAATTAAACGCTTCTCGTACCTAAACGTATGAAACGAGATCTAAAATCTAGATAAAACATTGAAACTCACGAGTAAGAAATACCATTTACGTATGTCAGATAATTATCATCATAATTATATGTTTTTGAGGAAAACTCAGTTTTGTTATTGTTGCTTACTTTAATATTAAATGGGGAAGTGGGGGTAATGT